CATTTAAGAATAAACTTTTGTAAAAAACAAAAACAAAAAAAAGAATAGTGTTGGCTGGGTGCGGTGGCTCATGACTACAATCCCAGCACCTCGGGAGGCCGAAGTGGGCAGATCCCTTGAGCCCAGGAGTTCGAGAGCAGCCTGGGCAATATGGTGAAATATGGTGAAACCCCATCTCCACAAAAATACAAAAATTAACCAGGAGTGATGGCACACGCCTATAGTCCCAGCCACTCGGGAGGCTGAGGTGGGAGGATCACCTGAGCCCAGGGAGGCCAAGGCTGCAGTAAGCCATAATCGTGCCACTGCACTCTAGCCTGGGCAACAGAGCGAAACTCTCCCTGAAAAGAAAAAAAAGGAAAGAGTAGTGTTATGCCTATGCCAAGAGAAAGCAACATTTCATTTATTTATTTATTTATTTATTTATTTATTTATCTATCTATCTATCTATCTATCTATCTATCTGAGACAGAGTATCACTCTGTTGCCCAGGCTGGAGTGCCATGGTGCAATCTTGGCTCACTGCAACCTCCGCCTTCTGAGTTCAAGCAATTCTTATGCCTCAGCCTCTTGAGTAGCTGGGATTACAGGGGTGCACCACCATTCCCAGCTAATTTTTGTATATTTAGTAGAGATGGGGCTTCACCATGTTGGTCAGGCTGGTCTCAAACCCCTGACCTCAAGTGATCTACCTGCCTCAGCCTCCCAGGTGCTGGGATTACAGGGCGTGAGCCAACACGTCCAGTAAAAAATTCACTTTAAAATTAAATTAGAAATCAAAAAAATCCTATGAAATTCTTAAAAGTGCTTTAAAGTAACTCTCAGAATTGCTGCGAAATTCCTCAGTATTTTCTCATCCTCTCTCTATTTTTTTTTACATTATCGACATCCAAAATAATTTTTTAATGATTTCTCATATTTTATTGTCTTATGTTAATTATTAATAGTGACAAGATATTTTTCAAGTTTTTAATCACAATTACACAATATTTGCATGGATTAAATCAATCTTTTGTTTGCCTAGCCTGGGTACTTCGCTCAAACTAATGTTTTCATGAAAACATGGGCTTTATATTAAGAATAGTTCCAAACATGGAGGAAAGAGCTCACAGCCCCAATAGGTTAGAAAGGTAGTAAGTGATGGTCCTTTTAGGAGTTAAAATTATTATTCTTGAACAGCTTAAAATTTGATTTCTGTGAATTGATTGCAGTACCATTTAAGATTAAGCATCCCTAAAGAGTTGAACTTGGCTATAATCAAGCCTGTAGAGCCAAATTCAGTTTACAGAGAATAAAGGAACAAGTTAAATGATATGAGAAGGAAGTAATTGACAAATTCAGAATGTGGACATCTCTGCACCATAACTGATCCAGTTTCTGCAACAAGTAAATGTCAGGGAAAAAAGGGAAGACTGCATCAGTTTAAAAGAGACAAAAAGAGAAAACACAACTGAATGCAATGTGTGTTGGATCCTTAATTCTCAAAATCAACTGTAAAAACACATTTTAGAAACAATCAGGAAAATTTTATTATGGAGTTGTTAATTACATGATGCCAAAGGATAGTTATTAATTTTGTTAGGTGCAGTCACGGCAATGTGGCTATGTAAGAATAAGTTCATATTTTTTGAGATGCACAATAAAATATGTAAGTGAAATAATGAGATGTCTGAGCTTAAAATATATTGCACAAGAAAAAGACAGGAGAGATGTGAGTCAAATGTGGCAAAATTTTGATAAATGTTGAATATGGGTGACAGGTAAGTGGGAGTTCATTGGGGTGTTTTAAAATAGTCGCAATAAAATTTGTAAAAGGCAAAGGCAAAAAAGGATTCATATCTACATCTTCAAAGTAAATAAAAACGATTTCAAAAAATATTGGTGGGGGCCAGTTGCGGTGGCTCATGCCTGTAATCCCAGCACTTTGGGAGGCCGAGGCGGGTGGATCACTGGAGGTCAGGAGTTCGAGACCAGCCTGGCCAACATGGTGAAACCCCATCTCTACTAAAAATACAAAAAATTAGTGGGCATGGTGGCTCACATCTGTAATTCCGGCTACTTAGGAGGCTGAGGCACGAGAATCACTTGAACCCTGGAGGGAGAGATTGCAGTGAGCTGAGATCATACCACTGCCCTCCAGCCTGGGCAACAAAGGGAGACTGTCTCAAAAAAAAAAAAAAAAGTTGGGCTTTAAATATATATACATTGTTCATAGTATACACAATCCTCTAAAGCTTGTGGCATTAATACGTTATATATCTGTTTGTATCTTTCATCTGCTAATTCTGCTCTCTCTATATATATCACAAGAATATAAGAGAACAAGAAAAATAATTTATGCAAAGCATTCATACAAATTTGTAACAGTAAAAATTGGGAAATTATAAAATACAGGAGGCTATGAAGCTAAGTATTATATGTCAGTATAATGAAAGACAGAAATCTATCAAAAGTGACAAAAATTTGAACTATGTAAATACATAAAACTAACTCTGACGTAAGTTAGAAGAAATTTTAAGTATTAATTAAGACTCTTGCACAGTTCCAAATGACAGAAAACCCAACCCAAACTGGCTAAGGAAAAGAGAAAATTTATTGGCTGATGAAAATTAAAACTTAAAAAGGCAAAAAACCTCATCAAAATAGATCATAGACCTAAATGAAAAAGTAACATTGTAAAATGTCTAAAAGAAAACACAGGATAAAAATCTAAATGACCTTTTTTTTTGGTAAAAAAGTAAAAAACAGACAATACCAAAGGCTGACAAGGATGCAAAGCAATAAGGACTCTCATTCATTGCTAATGGAAATGCAAAATAATATAGCTAGTTTAGAAGACAGTTTGGCTTAACACAGGATCCAGCAATTACTCTCCTAGGTATTTATCCAGTTGATTTGAAAACATATCCATGCAAAAAGCTGCACATAAATATATACAGAAGCATTTCTCACAATTGTCAAAAACTGGAAGCCACCAAGATGTCTTTCAATAGGTGAAGGGATGAACAAATTGTGACACATCAACACAGTGAAATATTATTCAGTGGTAAAAAGAAATAAGCTATCAAACCATGAAAGGATGTGGAGAAGCCTTAAAATGATATTGATAAGGAAAAGAAGCCAATCTGAAAAGACTACATACTGTATAACTCCAGCTCTATGACATTCAAGAAAAGGCAAAAGTGTGGAGACAGTGAAAAGATCAGTGGTTGCCAGGAGCTAGGGGAAAACGGGGAGGAGGGAATGAATAGGTGAAGCACAGGAGATTTTTTAAGTGGTGAATCTATAATGTATGGTACTATAATGGTGAATACATGGTTCTATTAATTTGTCAAGACTCCCATATACTTAATAGCATAAAAAGCAAACCTTAATGGATGCAAATTAAACAAAAATTATTTAGGAAATTGTGGGGTTTCAGGAAGGAATTCAGACTGTGACAAGAAAATCTAACTGTATTACAAGTGCATAAAACAACCTCTTCAGAGGCTAGAAAGAAAATGTGCTGACCTAAATAACTTTGGAAATGAATAGTTTGTAAGAATAAAGGCAAAAGCAATTGCAGATAAGCAGGGTACTCTAGTTGACAAAGTCCTTCTCACAGGAGTAAAAGAGGGGTAAGAGTGAGGAAAGAGATGGTTTTCCCAAAGCCAGTGAGTCACAAGAAGGGGAGTGGACGAGATGGATGATGAGCAACACAAATCATAAATGCCCACCAAAAACATGCATTTGATTATTTTTCTGTAACATTGTAAAATATGCTCACAATTTGGAAATAAATAAATAAATAAATAAGGCCAGGCATGGTGGCGCTCGCCTGTAATCCCAACACAGGCGGGTGGATCACTTGATGTCAGGAGTTCAAGACCAGCCTAGTCAACATGGTGAAACCCCATTTCTACTAAAAGTACAAAATAAATAAATAAATAAATGAATAAATAAACAACCAGGCATGACGGCATGTGCCTGCAGTCCTAGCTACTCGGGAGGCTGAGGCAGGAGAATCACTTGAACCTGGGAGGTGGAGGTTCAAGTGAACCAAGATCGTGCCATTGCACCCCAGCCTCGGTAACAGGGAGAGACTCTGTGTCAAAAAATAAATAACTTGGGAAAAAAGGAAATAAGATGAAGTTTAGTTTATGTCTTACAGACTTACCACAACTAGTCATATTCTACTTTTTAGATTTTATTGTAATTTCACACATACTACCCAAATCATTTAAAGTAAGTTGAACAAACAAAACGAAAACCAATAACTTTACTAGGCTTAATGCGTATCTTGCTCAAATTTTTATCAAGCAGATATGTCGTTTATAATATTTATAACTTTATAATATTATGAGAAGCTTAAATCAGTGTTAATAAAAATTTGAAGAAAAGTATGTTTTTCATTACATCAAAGAAGTTTCTCTGGCACAAACCATAAAAGCTATGCTAATTCAAAGATTCCTTTGTGAAAGTTACCTCAGATGTAGTGACAAGTACTGTGTTAAATACGTGTTTATGGTGACAAGATGTTGATGATCAGACTGAGTGGGCATAATGAGACAGCAGTATCACGTCAATTAAACATCGGCGGGCCAGGCACGGTGGCTCACGCCTGTAATCCCAGCATTTTGGGAGGCCAAGGCGGGTAGATCACCTGAGGTCAGGAGTTCAAGGTCAGCCTGGCCAACATGGTGAAACCCTCATCTTTACAAAAATACAAAAATTAGCTGGGCATGATGGCAGCTGCCTGTCATCCCAGCTACTCAGGAAGCTGACGCTGGAGAATCTCTTGAACCCAGGAGGCGGAGGATGCAGTGAACCGAGATCACACCACTGCACTCCAGCCTGGGAGACAGAGCGAGACTCTAGCTCAAAAAAAAACCCAAAAAACAAACAAACAAACAAAAATGTATGTGATCATTTCATTGTTATATCCATTATATAAAATCACATATGTGAGAGAAAAAGCAAATTTAGATCTCCTTGTGAACGCATACACAAAAACGATTTACCTGTAAAAATCATTTGTTTTCCCACAGTAGTAGATGTTGGCTTTTGGTATGATGCAGATGCCATGGCTAAAGTCTTAACTGTGCTACTGGATTTTATTCTTCGGCTTCTTCAAATCAGTTAAGCTGCACCAGAAAGAATGAAAGACTCTGCAGTCCTTCCTCTCCCTGCCTGTGACCTGAACCAGGTGGTTGCTAAAGACTCTTTATGACAGGGAGATAGAATGTTCCTCCCAGCAGAGTTCTGCATTCCAATCTCCAAGAGCAGAGAGATACTGCTGTAGCCTTCCCAGAACTTGCATCCAGTAATAACTTTCCTTATTTGTCAATATCAAGTCAGAATACACTTGTTCACAGGTACTAGATCCAGTTCGAGCTTATGTCCCAGATAGTCCGGCAGGCTCGGTCACTACTGCCTTTCAACATTTCACAAAGAATGTCTTGCAGAAATATGTTATAGCAAAAAACAAAAAGCCCCCACAAACCATGGTTAAATATATTTGACAAACACTGGCATGATAAAATACAGTAAAAAATAACATTAAGAAATTAATGAGATAATTACACACAGATGTGTATATATAGATATATTTCCAGTCTCATATTTCAGTCCCTCCTTAAACACCGCTTGTGCTTTGGTCATGTCAATTTATCTGTGGTTCTCAATCTGTGCAATGCTTTTTCATTGTTTGAGTCTTTACACATACAATTTGCTCTTCCTGTAATGCAAATATTTCTTGTCCTCTGACAGCCAAGGCCCACATCTGCTCTTCCAGGAGGATGTCTGCAGACATAGCTAAGTGCTTTCTTCTTCATGTCCCTTTAACCTCTTTAGCACTGTGTTTAGACCTATCTTTTTAACTTACCACTTTAATTGTTTGTCTATTTTATCGACCTCCCCACTAGAATCTGACTTCTAGGAGTTTATGGTAAAAGCATATTATTTATATTTCAATTTCCAGAGACTGGTATGCAATAAATAGTTAATAGATGTTTGTGGGATGAATAAGTGTATGATCAGTAATTCTAGCATGCACAGAAATATATCGACTACCTGATAATCCGTTGAGATAAATTCTAACAGTAATTTTGTATTCAACACTAATATATGGAGTTCTCTACTGTAAATATAATAGCTTTTATATTTTGAGAATTATAAGAAAAATACTTTATTAACTCTGGAAAGGCTTACAGTAGGCTTATGGTAGGTAAAGAGATGCGCTACTCAGGTAGGTTCCCCTTCAAGGAAGGGCTTATAGCCCAGCTGGAGGAAGGACTGTCAGCAGACAGTGTCCAGCTGTCAGCACCTTCAGGGTCTGCTTTGGCTGCAGAGAGCTGCCTCCTCTGTCTGAGGTCAAGCCTTTTCCAGGGGAGCCTATGTCAGGTGACTGAATGAGGTAGGGGTATAAGGACCAGTCATTTCTCACCAGATTGGTCAAGGCTGTGTTGAGCCCTTAGAGTTCTTCTTCCTCTGATCAATCCTGCTTTCTCTCCCTTCCTTTCACAGGTATTGAACCCAAATAACCACCTTGCTCCCCACTTCCAGAGAAACTGACCTGAGATAACTAGACAGCATAAGCACATATGCACAAATGTATTATACAAGAGTGCTTCTCATTTTAACCACTCAACCCTCCTAACCAGAAACTGAATATATTTCCCCAGTGTGGGCAACTAGAGTCAGTCGCTGTTGTGTTACTGATCTTTGGTGTCCTTTTCTTTGGTCCTGACCTGAATTACACTCTTCTTTACCTTCCTATGGCCCGCTACAGTTTCAGAAGCTTTCCTACTTTTTCTGCTGTTAATTAATTCTAGTTCCTATAGTCAAGGCCTCTCTATCTCTAGCTGAAAGTATCTTTCTTTGAAAAGTTCCTAGTTATGTCTTTGAAACTACCATTTTCCAAGGCGCCCAACTTTGAACATTCCTAGAAGAGAGAAGCCTGCTCACGTCACTTGTGTTTTTAAGGGTGCTGAGAAGAGAAAGGAAGAAGGAACCTAAATGAGAAAGTAATTCTTTGGTAAACAAGGCAGAAAATAAATGAGATCTTGGCTGTTGTTGGAGGACTTCCCATTAACCCTTCAGGGGAAATGCAGAGGCTTCTGCTTTGCCTTTGAGACTGTTACAAAGTCTGTTGTAGGCTTACCGTCAGACATTCTGATGGCAAAGGCTGCAGGGAAGGGAAAATACAGGAGAAGAACCAGGTTAGCTCTTCTCCATAAAATTATTCCATTAATTCAAGACATATTTAGGTTCATTTGTTTTGTGTTGTTTCAGTTTTCAGAAATTTAAAAATTTATTTCACAAGTAACATATTTATATAGTTTCAAAGTAAAATCCTTAAGGGATATTCAGAGAAGTCTAGCTTTTATCCTTGTTACTTCCTGCTGTTCCCGCCTTTTTTTCTTTCAGGAAACGTTTTTTAAAATATAACTACAAGGCCTGGCACAGTGGCTTACACCTGTAATCCCAGCACTTTGGGAGGTCGAGATGGGTGAATTGCTTGAGCCCAGGAGTTTGAAACTAGTCTGGGCAACATGGCAAGACCCCCATCTCTACAAAAATTAGCTGGGCACAGTGGTCTGTGCCTATGGTCCCAGCTACTCGGGAGGCTGAGGTGGGAGGATTACTTGAGAGCTCAGGAGTTTGAGACTACAGTGAGCTGTGATCATACCACTGCACTCCAGCCTAGGTGACAGAGTGAGACCTTGTCTCAAAAACCAACATATATATATATATATATGATTATATCCTCCCCTTCCCTAAAGAAATGGTAGCATACTGAACATACTGTCTTTTACCTTGCTTTTTTCTCTTAACAATACATCTGGAGAGATCACTCCATAGCATTACATAAAGATATTTCTCTCTCTCTCTCTCTCTCTCTCTCTGTACAGCTGCAAAATACATTTACCAGTTTATTCAACCAGTCCGCTATTAGTGGTCATTTGGGCTGTTTCTAATTTTTTTGCTATTACAAAAATTGCTACAAAAATACAGTTTTCTGTATACATCTTCTCATATTTTTTGCAGACATCTTTGGGATAGATTCCTAGAAGTGATGTTGCTGGGTCAAAGGAAAAAGACATATGTAATTTTGCTCAGTGTTGCTAACCCCGCCACCATCGTGGTTATGCCATTTTGTATTCTCATCCACAATACCTGAGAATACTGATCTTTATACGGCCTCATCCACAGACTGTGTTGTCAAACTTTCTAATTTTTTTCAGTATGACAGGTAAGAAATAGTAACATAGTAAGTTACACTTCTGTTCTTGTTAGTGTGATTGAATGTGTTTTCATGTGCATCACGGCCATGTGCATTATATACTATGAACTGTCTAGTCTTCTCTCTTTTTCTATCAAGTTGTTGACTTTTTTCCCTCCTACATTTTTTTTAAATGAGCTAACACTCTAAAGAAACACATAAACAGAGAATGACAATACAATGTAGTAAGAGTAATGATAATTGTAGTAATACATTTAGTAAATACCTGATTTCCCAGAGTCATGGGAACAGAGAAGAAGGTTAATTGGCCGGGCTGGGACGGAAGCTGAGGGCTGATGATGCGGTGAGGCAGGGTTTCCTTGAGGAAGCGATGTTTGAACTGTGTTGTAGAGAATGACTAGGATCTAGACAAGGGACAGGGAGCTGGAGGTTGGGGTGGGTGGTGAGGGCATTTTGGGCAAAGGGCATAGGTTGAGCAAAAGGCTGGGAGGGGAGAAACAGCCAATAGCACGGTGCATAGCAAAAATACAAGTTCCGCATTGCTGGAGAGTCATGACTAAGAGGGTGAGCTGGGACGTGAGGCTGGAACTTTACTCTGTAGGCAATGAGGACCCCTGAGGGTTTTATAGTCTTATTTATGTATGTATTTATTTTATTTTGTTGAGGCAGAGTCTCACTGTGTCACCCAGGCTGGAGTGCAGGGGCTCAATCATGGCTCACTACAACCTTGACCTCCCTGGACTCAGGTGATCCTCTCACTTCAGCCTCCAGAGTAGCTGGGACTACAGGAGATGGGGTCTCATCATGTTGCCCAGGCTGGTCTGGAACTCCTGGGCTCAAGCAATCCTAACTCAGGCTCCCAAAATACTGGAATTACATGCGTGAGCCACCATGCCTGGCCCTCTGAAAGGTTTTAAATGGGCAGACACTGGTTGGTGTTGGGTTTAAATGGAAGACACCTGACTGTGTGGAGAATGGGCTTAAGAAAAGCGAGGAGTCTGGGGCCCAGCAGGCAACTGTTGAAGTGATTCAGGGCAGTAGAGATGGGGCCTGAACTAAGCCAGGCACAGAGGAGACACATTTGGAGTGTGTATTGAAGAGTAAGAATGACCCCCAGTTTTCTAGTTTGGCTGACTAGAGAGTAGTGGTATCCCAAAATAACACAGGGAAAACAGAAGAAAGAAAACCGAGACCAATAAACAAATTGATGGCATTAACTAGATGTGAATTTGTACATGCTGCACAATAGGCTAACAGAGCAGTTAAAATTAAGCCCAAATTGTCATAAAGTATTGTGACAGTGACTGAACTCATTATTGGGACTAAAAGTGGTCCCCGTGGGCCACCAGATGCCTTTTCATTAGAGAAAATTGCTATTGTTTATGAATCAATAGTTGCCTCTTCTAATGAAACTCAGGGTTTGCTGCTCAGCACAGATGAAATTGTGGCTATTGTCTTGCTTCGATAATTTAATAGCTACTTCAGAGCTGATAACCACTTTACCAGTTACAACTGTGGAGGCCAATGCAGTGACCCTGTAAAAGTCTCTTGTTTTAACATTTGGGAAAGAATCAAGTTATATACTTTAATGATATAAAAGTGATACAAACTAGAAGCTTTTATTATACGACAGTGATATATCTCTAGATGAACACAGGTCAGAATGTACTACAATTACATAATAACTTTCAAATATCCTATTACAAAGCACACTTGGCAAACGGGGAAGCTTTGCCACCGTGTATCAGTGAACCTTATACTTTTGAGCACTATATGTATAGTACTTAAATATATATATATATGGTACTTAAATATGTGTGTGTGTGTATATATATGTATGTATTTTTTCTTTTTTTCTTTTTTGAGATGGAGTCTCGGTCTGTTGCCCAGGCTGGAGTGCAGTGGCGCGATCTTGGCTCACTGCAACCTCTGCCTCCCGGGTTCAAGTAATTCTCCTGCCTCAGCCTCCTGAGTAGCTGGGATTACAGGCACGTGCCACGATACCTGGCTAATTTTTTATATTTTTAGTAGAGATGGGGTTTCACCATGTTAGCCAGGATGATCTTGATCTCCTGACCTCATGATCCGCCCACCTCAGCCTCCCAAAGTGCTGGGAGTACAGGCGTGAGCCACTGCACCCAGCCTGTATATTTTCTTTTGAGACACTGCACCCGGCCTGTATATTTTCTTTTGAGACAGAGTCTCACTGTTGTCCAGGCTGGAATGCAGTGGTGGGAGCATAGCTCACTATAGCCTCAAACTCCTGGGCTTAGGAGATCCTCCCGCATCAGCCTCCCTAGCTGGGATTAGAGGTGTGTACCACCACACTTGGCTAAATTTTGTACATTTTGTAGAGAAAAGGTCTCACTGTGTTTCCCAGGCTGGTCTTGAACTCCTGACCTCAAGCTATCCTCCTACCTCAGCCTCCCAAAGTTGTGAGCCACCACACCCAGCCTAGTACCACATATTTATATGTCTTTTCCATGTATTCTATGTTCAGGAAATAATCTGGAAAACACACTGAAGAGAGCCACAGACTTGGCTTCAAATCCCAACAGCTCTTCTGAGTAACATTGGCAGGTTGCTTTTCTACGTAATGAGAATCATTGTGCCTACTTATAAGTCAATTGGGATAATGGATGTAAAATGCTTGCCACAGTGCCTGCTACATGGTACGTACTCGATAAATATCAGCCGTAATATTGGACTCATCATGCTTCCCCTGCATCCTTGCCACCCACCCCATTCTTCCCTGAAAAAACATAGACGATTAATACAAATTTAAACAGGGACCATCATAACTTTTCTTTTTGTGTTTGAATTTGCAACACCAGCTCACAAAAGAGTCTGTACTCTTCCTCT